AACTCATGGCCAGATAAGGACAGGATAAGTGTCTGGGAATTTGAAAATCTAGACAAAAGAAAAACGTTTTTCTTAATGATGCTGTTGTGCCAGGTTAACTATTATGGCTTCTTGAGTTAATGATCTCTAGGGTCTTAAATTAAGTCAAAAACTCTACCTCTGTGGTTTTGTCCCCTTTCTGCAAGGGTAAAAAAATCTCAGATGGGTTCAGATTAATTTTATTTTCCATGTTTCCAACATGTACAATGACATTACCGAAATAAACTAGAGAACAACACAAATAGGTGAAGAATCCTCTCATAAACAAGAAACATCAGTTGAATATAATCTGTCAAGGGTACAGATTCTTTTTGTTGTTATGTTTTATAACAATTCATGCTTATAAATACAGTACACAAGCTAGACTTTCAAGGAAATTCAGCTTTAAACACTTATTTATTCAGACTACAGAATGTCATATCTACATCTGACAGCTTATCATATGTATTATGAATATACATATTATACTGGTATTTTGATCATTTGTATATTCATTATTTTTAAATTCATAAACTTAAGAAGTTACATTTGAATATAAATTAAACATACATTAGATTGACTTTTTTGAGCCAATATTTTAATACTTGATCCTGGAGATTAGGTTGTTTTCCTGAAAATGTAATTGGTACCATGACTATGCTGACCACCCCACCCATCCCCCAAAAACTCATTGACCATCTACTATGTATCTGTCATTGTGCTAAATATTAAAAAGTTAAAAAAAAAAGTTAAGTAAAACATGGTCCTTGTCCTTGAGGAAGATTTTGCAATGGGTGGGATATCCAGGTTATCTGGATATCTAAATATAATTTTCCTAATGCTTTATATACAAACTTGTGCATGGAAGAGGCAGAGCAGGGGGCACCTGGGTGGCTCAGTTGGTTAAAGCATCTGACTTCGGCTCAGGGCATGATCTCCCGGTTCGTGAGTTTGAGCCCCACATAGGACTGTGTGCTGGCAGCTCAGAGCCTGGAGCCTGTTTCAGATTGTGTGTCTCCCTCTCTCTCTGCTCCTCCCTGGCTCTCCCTATCTCTCTATCAAAAATAAATAAACATTAAAAAAAATTTAAAAGAAGAAAAAGCAGAGCAGGTTATTTGCCCCAAGTAATGAAAGTTTACCAGATTGAGGGGCAGGGGAGGAAACATGCCTTGTTGTGTTTAGGAAATGACAAAGTAGAGCAGATGGAATAAAAAAAAGCTGGTGAAAAAAGCGGAAGTGGGGAGAGGTCTATTAGTAATGATTTGAAAAGAGAAAAAGGTTTTCATTTTTTCATTCCTTCAACAAATATTTATTGGGCCCCTACTATGTGTCAGGTGTTGTTCTAGGCTCTGAGCAAGTGGAAGCAAGTACTAGGCTCTAATCAACCATGGTTATGAAGGCTGTGGGTCGATGAGGTTTACCCATTCATGTGGGCTCTAAAACAAAAATTAAACAAGGAAAAGTGATACCAAGTAATGGGAAGCAAGGCAGGAGCAGGTTCTGGGATTTGAGAAAGTTGAAAGGCCTGTTTGTGATGGTGCATGTGGTCCAGCTATGAAGAATTCAAGAGACAATGTCAGATAGGAAATTAAAAATGGGGGTCTGCAGATTAAGTCAAGGCGGAGGCTACCAAGAACAAGTAGGTCACCAGTTATAAATGCTATTTAAAGCCATGGGACTGGACGAAATCACAGGGTATAGAAAAGAGAATTGGCCCATGTCTAAGAAGCCTGGGGCACTGCAACATTCAAGGGTCAAAGTGGGAGCAGAGGGAGGGGCAAAATATTAAGGTACAAATATATCAACTTAGAACTTTCCTTTAGAACTGCAGGCCAGAGTATTCTCAACATTGCCTACCAACAGAAACAAATATATTCATGCCCCTTCTGTAGTTGCAAACAAAATACTCCAAGTATGATTTTTTTTTAAGTTTTATATTTAAAATGATGCAAGTCTGGTAATCTAGCCCATAACATACTATTTATTTAATATAACATGGCATATAACTGAATTATCATCAAAATTAAAATGTTTCCTACCATGTTTAATGGGAGCTTCAGGTATCCACAAAACCCTATCACGTTTCACTGGGGGCAACTCTTCTGACTCCAGTTGAAGAAGAAAGTCTCAGAAATGGGAACTATTTGGAAGCATTCAACATCCTTCTGTTCTTATTTGTAATTTAATATTTGCATCACATAGCTATTTTTTATAGTTTGTTAGTGTTTGTTTGACTATCCTTCATATATCCCTGAGAAGGGAGTTTTCTGGTTTTGATTAAGAACTTTCTCAGGAGGTGAGGACTAATTTGTTACTTCGATTTCTAACACAACATAATGTGAATTTTTTATGATGAAACTTCTATTTACATTCTTAGAGATTCATGAAGAAGCATCTTGAATATTTAAAGATAATACACTAGGAGAACCTCAAATCTATTCTATTTGTGCCCTTTTATTTTTTGTGTGTGCCCTGTTTATTAAAGTTATTTCACAAGGATTTTTAAGTAGCTATAACCAGAAGAATCGTCAACAAATAATACTGGGAAAGTACCTAATAGATATTCAGAGAACACCCTCCCAGGAGACCAAAGCAAAAAAAAAAAAAAAAAAAAAAAAACACTAGAGTTTTAAAAATTTTATCTATCATGGGGCTCCTGGGTGGCTGAGTCGGTTAAGCATCTGACTTCGGCTCAGGTCATGGTCTCACTGTTTGTAAGTTCGAGCCCCGCGTTGGGCTCTGTGCTGACAGCTTGGAGCTCAGAGACTGCTTCAGATTCTGTGTCTCTCTCTCTCTGCCTTTCCCCCCTCTCAAAAATAAATAAACATTAACAAAATTAAAAACATATACATATATCTTTTGATTTGACAGTAAATTAAAGGAATTCCCCTGGCAAGGGGGAGGCAGAAAAAAAAAATAAGAAAGCTTCAATGCAAAGAAATAAGTGAAAATTAGAACCATCATTTGGATAGTGGTCTTTGTTAATTCCTTGTGATCTAGGGAATTTTAATAAATACGTTTAGGGGAAAAGTGACTCCTAATGCCAAGAAGAGTGGCCATCATATTAGAGCCGTCTGCAGGCAGCAAAGGTAATATATTTAGTGAATGACACAAGGAAGAATGCCTGCCCTGTAGAGGGACACCTTAGAGAAAGCTCTAGACTCAACCTCAGCTCTGCGTGGAGAAGAATAAAAGAAAGGAATATCCTGAGCATGTCTAACCTCATGTCTTCACTCACATAGTCTTGGGGCTTAAAGTCATGTTATTGTAGAATGGGGGGAAACCCAAAAGCCCCCTGTCACCCCCAAAAAAGCCAAAATAGTACTTAATCATCCTAGATTGTCAGTGTCTCTGGCTGCCTGGTGGCAGAAGATGACTGTCCTCTTAGTAAGAATGTCCTTTATAACCAGGCCTCTGAGAAGTACCACAGATAAAAGTCCAAAACGTGAGCTCACAATAAAAATTCACTATGTTGGGAAACAAGTGCCCATGACAAAAAGCCAGCAAAGGAAAAGAATCACAGAATGAGATCTACCTAAATTGCCAATATTAGAATTATTAGATTCAGAATAGGAAATAATTTTTTAAAAAAGATTCTAACAGCAGCAGCTTCTAATATTTGAACAATAGATTTTCTAGAGATGGAAACTGCAATAACTAAAGGTACAAACTCAGTGGATCTGTTAAATGGCAATGTAGATCCAATGAAGAAAGAACTGGTAAACTTTGGCAAGACAGACTTTTAAATTCCTAATAATACAGCACTGAGAAACAAAGTGATGGAAAACACAAGAGAGGTTAAAAGATATAAACAGGAGAGTGAGAGGATCCAACCTAAGTCTCATTGGATGTCCAGAAGGAAACCATGTAGACACTGGGAGAGGCATTATTTGAAAAGATAATGGCTGAGAAGATTCCAGAATTGATAAAAGGACATTAGTATCTGAAGTCAGGAAGCCTAGTGATTTCCAAGATACACTGAAAAAAAATTAAACAAAAAAACCCCACAGCTAGACATATAATAATAATAATAAAGAAGTATTCAATTTTTATGTCTGTATATATTTTTTTATTTTTATTTGAGAGAGAGAGCAGAGGAGGGGGGAAAGGGAGAGAGAGAGAGACAGACAGATAGACAGAGAGGGAGAATCTTAAGCAGGCTCCATGCTTAGCACACAGGGCTCAATCCCACGACGCTGGGATCATGACCTGAGCTGAAATCAAGAGTCGGACACTCAACCAACTGAGCCACCCAGGTGCCCCTCAATTTTTATGTCTATATGGTGGGTTATGATCAAACAGCATTTAATAGATTGGTATATAACACTTCATCAATTTTGACTTGAACTCTGTAGACATGTCTATGGATGACACATTAATATGTAAATTAGCTACCAATTCTTGTTATAATTGGGCCAAGTACATTTCAGAAGTATGTGTTTTATAGCCACATCTTGTGTCTTTAACCAACCAGAAATACAATAGTTAAAACTCTCAGTGTAAAGTTTAACAGCTATTACCTGTTTTCCCATGACGGGAGAAGGAGTAATATCTGTGCTAAATTGTTCAAGTTTTGCTGAAAATATTCAACTTACTTCCAGTTGTATCTTATCAGTTTTGAGAAAGGTTGAAGAAAAAGAATAGTTATTTGGAGAATAATATTCAAATGGACATCAGAAAATAGAATTCTAGGAGATCATTGTTTGATATTTAGAGTATATGCAATAGTCCCTTCCCCTTATCTACGGGGGATATAGTCCAAGACCCCCAGTGGATACTTGAAACCACATATAGTACCAAACCTTGTATATACTATGTTTTTTCCTATACATATACCTCTATGATAAATTTAATTTATAAATTAGTCACAGTAGGACATTAACAATAACCAATAATAAATAGAACAGTTAAAACAAGAGACCGTAATAACAGTTATGCGAATGTGGTCTCTTTTTCAAAATATCTTACCGTATTGTACTCACCCTTGTTCTTTTGATAATGCGAGATGATAAAATGCCTCCGTGATGAGATGAAGTGACATGAATGGTGTGGACTTGGTAATGTACTGGCAGACTACTGCTGACTTTCTGACAATATGTCAGAAGGAAGATCACCTGCTTCTGGACTGCAGCTGACCATGGATAACTGAAACCACAGAAAGCGAAACCACAGGAAAGGGAGAACTACCATATACGTACTACTTACGGGACTCAACAAGTATTCGTGTTGCTTACTTGACATGTAGTCTTGCTACTATTTTTAAGGATATCTCTGTAATCATTTCCTAAATAGTCAAGAAAGTAAATATTATATATATTAAAAAAAATCATTGTATATGTTAGTATGCCTACTAACTAGTATGTCTGCTAGTATGCCTAGTGAATTCTCCAGTTAAGGGGAACATTGTGCCATTGTCAAGGAAATTTGAACTTGACTTAGGTGATAATCCTTAATTACTGGAGATAATATAAAACGTGTTTCTTTTCTACGGGTGCCTGGGTGGCTCAGTCAGTTAAGCGTCTGACTTCGGCTCAGGTCATGATCTCATAGTTTGTGAGTTCAAGCCCCGCATTGGGCTCTGTGCTGACAGCTCAGAGCCTGGAGCCTATTGCCGATTCTGTGTCTCCCTCTCTCTCTCTGCCCCTCCCTGGCTTGCACTGTCTCTCTCAAAAATAAACAAAACATTAAAAAAAAAAAAACTTCTTTCTTTTCCAGTTATCTAAACAGCTAGAAAATTTAAAAACCATGCAGGTAACTATATAATCCTCTTCTCCATGACTAAATCAGGTGTGGACAAAAAACGCAAGTTTGTTTGTAAAGGCTTCCTTGGGGAAAAAGTGATAGTTTGAGAAGTCCCTCTGCACCCACTGGTTCATTTAAACATTTAAAACTTTATCCAGCTACACTTAATACACCTAAGATTGGCTCTTCTGGGGCTAGTTTTCCTCTTCCCACTTACACACAGATATTCTTTGCTCAGTGAACTCAGACAAGAGGGTTAGTATTTTTAAATCTGTCTTTAAAACTTAATATGTAATTAAGTAGATACCAAAATCAATGATTTCTGATTTTGAAGCATGTTTTAGGAAGTCTCATTTCTGCTTCATCGATCTTAGAATGCCAAGTGGTGAATGAAAACTCAAGTCCAGCCCGGTGTGGACTTACATGAGATGAAGAGTATATTTACACTGTGCTGAACACTTAACTAAATGCCATCGGTTACCAGATGACAATAAATATGAACTATAACTGCAACAATGACCCTGAAAAGGCATTATCACCCATCATTGTCAGAAAGTAGGAGAGAAATATGGCGGGTTTTAAGGAAGGAATGGGGAGTATGGCACCAAGGGAGAGAAGAGAGGTGGGGAAAATATATTTGGAAAATGACAAAAATAATAGAATATCACTGTTTATTATTTCACCATCTTTTAAGTCAGTATACAGAATCCTTGATTATGCAGTACTTCCTCAGCATTTTTTAATGGATGTTACTGAAAAACAGAAAGGGAAAATGTTTATCATATCTTAATAAAAACCCAGTTCCAGAGGAGACATATCTTCCAAAGCACAAATTTAGTGCAGACATTTTAAATGGAAGCTTTATCGGTCAATCAGGAGAGAAGAAATGAATATTGTTCTTTCCTAAATTTATTTTGAAGGTAAACATAAAAATAATCACATGATCAGTTGGGTGCTACTCTTTAGAAGCTTAAACTCAGGTTCTCAATTATGTTCTGCCTTTATAGGATCCATGGAAGGGATGCCTGACAAATGTGGTCAAATCGCTTCAAGGGCCATTATATCAATGACAAGGGTCATTATTGAGCGGCCGCAGAAGCTCTGAGCCACTTTGCCTCAGAAGCCCAAAGCATGGATAACCTGGCAAGACTTGGGGGACTGTTGAGTGGGGAGTGAGTGACACAATCAAATTTACACTACCGAGGTAATTTTGGAAGCAGTTTGAAGAAATGGAGATAGAGATTGAGAACACAGGCAGAGAGGAAGTGAACCTAAGAAAGAGGGACAGAATCCCATCAGAAAGAAGAGTGTTCTTCAAAGGCTTGGCAACCTTAGGCACACAAAATCAGGCACTGTATAGATGTTCAGCAGGGGCCTGAATTAAGGAATGAGATGTAGGGTGTAAGAAGGGAAATCTAAAGAAAGCCTAGTTGATGACTTTGGATGATGGGATGCGGGAGGTGTCTTCCCCGGGCCCACCAAGTGAGTGGTGAGCCATCTGTGCAGCCGCTGTGGAACAGGAAGTACCTAGCAGCTGTGGAGGAAGTACTAGAAATAGGGCTTACTGAGCTTGAGGTGTCTGAGGAGCACTCGAGTAGACAGATGTCCAGGAGCCAGGTGAATATATGGAGCTGAAATGCGAGGGAGCCATCAGCTTATTTGAGCTTCGGATGTGGATAAAACCGCCCTGAAAACATGTCAAAGGCTGGGGACTGGAGGCTGGGGATTTGAGACGGTCTTATTCTGGCCGCCACACTTTGGAAGAGGCAGTGATAAACTGCAGCAACCTTGCGATATGGGAAATGGGTGGGAGGACAGGAGAACGGAGAGGGGGAGGCCACCCCAACGTGAGTGTGTTGCATAAAGGCTTGGGCTCCCCCACTACCGGGGCAGAGCTGGGGCCAACCGCGGCAAGTTAGTGGCAGGTGCTTTGCGCTTCATAGGAAGGAGGCCAACTGAGTAACCGACCACCACAAGCTGACTGCCTGACCAAGCAGTGAGCTTCGGATCCATCCGCCAAATGGGGGGGGGGGGGGGG